GCCTCCCGTGTGTTGAAAACAACCTGGAACGCTGTGCACGGGGCTGTGACTCGTCATTACTATTTATTAATACATGCCTTAATTATTTCTTTTGGCCAAAAAACAAGCAGTACTTCTTGGCTTTAGCTTTTTTTCAGGTTCTAGGTTGCTGTGTTGTTACAGGCCAATTCAAACCAGCTGAATTAAGTTGCAGTGGCCCAGACTCTAGTTTGGGCGCCCAGTTTTCTGGTGGCTTCTGACAATCCTAGTTGCATGTGAAAATAGAAACCAGAACAGCAGCGGCCTAGCAAAAAGCTTCCGGAAAGCACCTTTGGCAAGGACCCCAAGTACTGTTTTGAAACTCTAGTTTCAAATGAGGACTCATGCGTTCTGTTACCAGAACCTCTTATAGCTGACTTGGTCTCCTCTGCAGATAATATCAGAAGATATCAGTGAGCTGCAGAAAAACCAAACGACAACTATGGCAAAAATTGCACAGTACAAAAGGAAACTGATGGCGCTTTCTCACAGAACGTTACAGGTAACAGGGACAGTAGAAATAACTCCTTCTGATGCACAGTCTGGGGCATGGCCAGTGTTGAAAATGAAATTCTGGCTTCATATAAATGGTGTTGCTTTAAGAGGCAGAGCTGTCAGGGAAAGCTTGGGGTGCACAGCATGTCTTACTGCTTCGGGAGCCTTGTCTCTCCCTCACTGCCCTGACTAAACGACAAAACAAATCCCATGAGAGAGGGAAAGCTTGGGGTGCACAGCATGTCTTACGGCTTTGGGATCCTTGTCTCTCGCTCACTGCCCTGACTAAAAGACAAAACTAATCCCATGAGACATGTTGGGGAGGAAGGGCAAGAAGACATGCGCAGGGGCTAGTGGGGAAAGAGGCGGGCCAAGTCTTCTGGAATGAACCTCCAAGGCTTCTTGTGCAGGTGTTAATAAAGCAGGAGATCCAAAGGAAGAGTGGTTACGCCATTCAAGCAGACGAAGAGCAGCTTCGTGTACAGTTGGATACAATTCAGTGTGAACTTAACGCACCGACACAGTTCAAGGTGAGGAATTAATAGAACTTTGCCAATAACTCTGCTTTTTTCTCACAAAGGAATGTAAGTTTTTCAAACCATATATATATTTGTTGTGGAAAGCTTTCAGAAGGGAAGTCCAGCAGTGTTACTAGGTTGTAGTGTCAAGCTCCTTGCTGCATTACGGGTAGGTATTTAAGTATTTTTGAGTTGTTAGAAGTATTGTAGTTGCTTGCCTTTTGCATGTCTTCCAGAAAAAAAAAAAATCATTTAAAATGGAACGAGCGGCAATGCTTCCTGCCCTGGTGAGGTGAGGAGTGGTACGTGCTGGAGCTCTGGCAGATTAGAGGTGGATGAGTTGCGGTCGATTTAAGCCTGTTTCTCTTCCCAGGGCAGGCTGAATGAGCTCATGTCCCAGATCAGGATGCAGAACCACTTTGGAGCAGTGAGGGCTGAAGAGCGCTATTACATCGATGCAGACCTCCTAAGGGAAATCAAGCAAGTAAGTATTTCTGCATAGAACCCCGGGATACCCTTTGAATGAACTTCATGATTTAAGCCAGCTACACAGTAACTTGGGAGATGTATCTGGAGTGTCACGTTTTTGTAACTGTTTGATGATCAAGTCCTTTTTATTCTTGGTGACAGTGCATCAAGGTGTTGTACCAAGCCACTCTGCGCAGTTTGGGTGTTAGCGCAGAAAACACTGGTTTCCCTTCTTTCCAAGAAATTATGCCAGGCTTTTCCATGTGCCAAGGCCACCAGACATGGCACTTGTGAGAAATATTACTTAGAGTCTGTGAAGTTCAACCCTGCTCATGCTGGTTTTTATCATCTGCAGCATCTGAAGCAGCAGCAAGAAGGCCTGAGTCACTTAATTAGCATTATAAAGGACGACTTGGAGGACATCAAACTTATCGAACACGGGCTGAACGAGAGCATTCCAATCAGAGGAGGAGTCTTCAGTTGAGGTGGAGGCTGCTGGGCCTATACAGAACCTGTCACTCGAGTTCATGGTTCGCCTTCCAAGGCTAAAACTGTTGAGGTAAAATAAACCACGTACCTTCTAGGAGCAATGGTGTTTGGGCTGTTATCTTTAGAATTAGCAAAGCCTCTTCTAAGCTTTTGAACTTGACCTTTGGAAGGTTTATATTTCATAAAGCTGTATATGCTTTAATAAAAGAAGGAAAACTGAATCTGTTGAGATACTGGTTTACTATAAAACAATATGTACTATTGTACATTTTTTCTTTTTCTTTTCCTTTTTTTACAACAGCATTGTCCTAGAAATGCACTGCTGAGGGAATTGTTCCTCCTGTGACTTGGTTTGTGGAAAGCTTAGTCTGCTTCCTTGTTTTTCTCAAAACAATCCAGTACCATCTTTATGTAAAAAGCTAATTTAAATCATTACAGATCTGTGTGTTGCTGTAACTATGTCTGTCTCTGCAATACCAGTAGTTTACTGGGGCAAGCTGTGGGAAGTTCCTGATTCCCGTTTCTGTTCTTCCTTTGGACTGCAAGGATCTGAAGGTTATGTCTTTATCACTTTATGTGTGTGAATTATCCAATGCCTTGCTGCCCCTCAAATTACAACAGAATGTCTGGACGTTGTCCTCTGCTTTTTTTTTAATTGCCAGAGAGTAATAAATTCAGTCTGAGTTTGTAATAATGGGTGCTTGGTGTTGGCTCTTTCTCACTCCGTCTGCAAAGCAGTGAAACTGCTGACAGCTCCAGGTTACTGCACTTCACTCCTCCAGGCACTGCAGGTACCAGGCTCTCAAACCCCATGCCACAGCGCTGCTGAGCAGCCTCAGTCCCCAAACTAAAATAAAAGGTCATGTCCCTTTGATCCCAGGTGGGAACAAGTACTGGAGAGCAGCTGGCTACTCCATACTTTGGAGAGACAGCTTGCTTTATTCTCCCCTCAAGTTGTCTTTTTTCCTCGTTACAAAATTCACTTAAAATAACTAAAACAAAAATACCTCATGCTCTGCAGTAGGAGTTTGTGCAGCAGAAACAACTCAAACAGGGTAGAGACAGAGTGATTTTTTTCATCAGCCACAAAAAAACCCCTCCATTCCTAAAATATGAAAGATAGAAATACAGCCTCAGCATGCTAGAGCCTGTATTGTGCATTTGAGAGAGTTTACTTTTGAAAGCACGCTTCCATCACAGCTGAAAAAGTTGATGTGGAACTGCAATTAAGAGCAAAGAGAATTAGCTTATTTGTGGAAGCATGGTTCCAATTCATAAAACACCTAACGTGCAATACAGGCTTTAGCAGGAGCTCTTGTAAGAAATGGAATAAGGCTGGAATTTTCTTTTTCAAGGGCTAGGGTCCCAGTCTCAGTGCAATCTTCTACCCTAGCGCCCCTGCTAGCGGGACTAGGCTGCGTGTTCGGGATGAACAGGTGGGTTTCTTCTTTGCAAACAATGTACCAGCCCCCTACCTCTGTAAACTGCAAGTGCACTCCGCTTGGAAAAGATCTGGAACGTGTAGCATAGGCACTTCAGCAGGGGGCTACTTGATCTGCTACCCTGGCCTTCGGAAAAAAAACTGGTCACAATAAATTTCTTCAAAATGGCCCCCTGCTGGAGACAGTTTTGCATGTTTGAGAGAGAGAGGTTTTTTCCAAGTGTTGCTCCACTGCACATACTGAGTAGCTTCAAACTTGTACAAACTTGTCACAGTACAGGAACAACAGAGGGGAAGTAGGTATTATGAGTGAAACAGCACTGCTGCTGCCAGAGTTGACAAATGAGAGAAGGCACCAACAGCCCAGAAACAGCAATCTAGAAAAAAATGCTTTATTAAAAGGCAAGCTGCGCCCTAGAAGTTGCTACCTGGTTATAACGCTGCCTACAACAAATAATTTTACTTCTGTTTTACTACACTTGAATAGCCCTGTAACGCTTCATCACATGCAATGACAAGGTAAACTACACTGCATCTCCCTTTGAGCAGCAATTTCTACTTAAAACCCAGCTCCTTCTTAAAAAAGGTTGGAACTGAAGTGCAGCTCATCGGTTTTACCTGCTGCCTTCCCCAGAAGGATCGCAGCAGTTGGCTACGGCGATCACTGGTTTTAAGCAGTAAGTGCTACTGCTATCTGACTTCCCAGTCCCTGCTTTGCATCGGCAGGCACGCTCTGCGGTTAGGTAGGAAGCAGCCCCCCTGGCTTCGCAGACAGTCAAGGCATCCGACATGGCAACCCTCACCAGGTTCTCGCTACTGTGACTGTTTGACGAGGCGAAAGGCTTCGAGGAACTCGTTGAAGTCGATGTTTCCATCCTTGTTGAAATCAATGCTGCGCACTAAGTCATTGATGCCGTCGTCTGTGAGGTCAATGTTCATGTGGGAGCTGAAGAGCTTCCAGGTTTGGTGGAATTCCTCGAATGAGATGAGACCTGTGGAGAAGGAAGGCACAGCCGCCTCAGCACAAGGTCAGCACGGGCACTGCTGCCAGTCAGTCCCCACTCAGCATACAAGGAGGGACCCCTGCTCAGATTTCGTCTCTAATCCCTGCATACCCTCAAGGACGGAAAGAAATCACTCCTAATCTTCATTTCATGGGCTGCAACTACATTTCCCAGCATGCAGAACTCTGGCTAAAATAAAAGTTAAAGCAGGAAAGAGACATAATACAACTTGGGAGAACAAAAGCAAGCAAAGACTGTTGTAGTTTCACTTTCCTGAAGGAATTTGGTGGAGATGACTGCTTGAAAGCTGGTAACTCTTGAGATGCCAGGTATGCTGCATTACTGTCATTGCTTTCATGGCCAGTTTTGTTCTGCTGAACTCCTCCAGAAAAAATAATGATTAATTCTCTACCTGGACTGCACAGAGTCCTTCAAAATGCGTTATGTTTGTGGAAATTTGCAATGACATTTCAGAAACTCTTGAGGCAATAAGCCCAACCGAGAGAAAAGAAAGACTCAAATTTTAACACATGAAATGAAAATAGCTTTGTACGTACTAAAAGGAGCCCAAAAGCAGAACGGAATATGCTGCAGTGACCACCAGCCCCTGCACACCTGCTTACCTGAATGATCTCTGTCTATGATCCGGAATATGGTCTCCAAGTTGGATCTGTTCCGATAGATGACTTCCAGCAAGCTCGACTGGATGTGCTGAAAGACAACACGGTCACACTCCTTCTACCCTTCCGACAGCACTCGGCTTTCTCCGAGCAGTGACTGCAGACCTTCCCGTGGATCAACATTTCCCTGCTCTCGGGAGCTTGCCAGCAGCGCGCCTAGCGTCGCGTGTGGCGTACCAAACAGCTTAGTGGTGACTGGACCCTCTGCGCAACCCCGCATTGTGGCACATCAGCAACCCGTCGCTTCCACACAGAGCTTTTCCCGAGAAGACGGTGACGGGCTACGTGTTTTAACCACCACAGAGCTGATTTTGCTGGGTGTAATTAAAAAACTGCAGCTCAGAGCCTGCAATAAAGTTTTCCTGCTTAAAAGCCTGCATCCAAAACTACCTCTAGGTTTTGACTGCACGTGCATCATCTGTTTCTACAACGGACTTGAATTCATACAAGCTTTTCCATTGACTTCAGCGGGATTTTGGATTATACGGGAACCAGAACCATCCACTCTCCTTTCGTACCATACTTGGTTTCACGTGCTGGAGATCTCGTGAGCTGCTTTGCATCATTCTTCGATGGAGGGGAGCGAGTCCTTACCTCTGGGCTCCGCTGCTCCATGGCCAAGTCGTCGAGCCAGGACTTGTACTCCAGCATGCCGTCCGCCGTGCTGCGCACCAGCTGCGGTCTCAGCATCCTCCAGGGCAATCCCAGGTGCAAGACTGACTCCACCGCTGTCGCCCAGTTGCTCAGCGTGATCCTTCCTGTGAGGCAAAGAGAGCGCCGTGGAGACCTCTGAGAGACAGGCAGCTGAAAGCACATGAAGGCAACCGGCATGTTGCTTGTTTCAGTGCCACCACCTGCTACACCACTGTCTCCTTCAGGTGCTGGAACAGGTCCAGGCCATCTCCAGAAGATTCTTTACCACCAAGCTGCAGCAGGGCTGCCCACCGAACAAAAAACCCTCTGAGTGCACTTCTTCCTCTTCAAGCAGTCAGGTGATGGGACAGGAACACAGCAGACCTGTTGGATGCCCCTCCCTGTCACCGAAGAGGAGCCTCGAGGAGCAGTACACGTACCCAGCCTACCGTGCTGCCGACAGGAGCAGCGTCATTTCTCCGTGGCACACTTGAGCACTTCGGTACAGGAAAAAAAACCTACACTGCCGTATAGACATCAGGCACAAGTGCACTTGCTCCTCCCTCCCCAGTCTCAGCAAACTTTTGGACATTCCAAGAAATCAGGGCCCTGGGGCTGCAAACATCTGAACAACAGGAAGACACTGACTTTGGGTCTTTCACTGTAAATTTGTGGCCTACAGCCAGGGTCACCTTGCAGATCGTGGCCTACACAACTGCACTGTACTTCCTCAGTGACCCAGGAACATGGAAAAGCCTCTGGTCTAACAGCTGAACTGGACTTGTGTGAACAATTGCGCTGCCAGGGAAGAAAGCAAGAAGCCAATTCGGCCCACGAGGAAGCGGTTCTGCCAACTGCTGTGGCCCTTTTCTCCCTCGGCCCACCAATGAACCCATCTCAACTCCACGTCTCATTCACTGCACCAGCAGCGCAGAGCGTTCCTGACAGCCAGACAACTGTCAACTCTCAGCTCCTCCCTTTAAGGCTCGGACAGAGGCAGCAGCCATTGAGGACATCCCCTGCTTTCCTCTTCCCAGCGATTTGAGACTCTAGGGATGAAAAGGCTCTAGAGACCACCCAGGCCTTCCCGAGTGACACACGTTCCAGATCATCTTTTGCAATGCTTCATCGATACTCCTGTTCCAAAGGGTTCTCCTCGTACCAAGCCTAAATGGCTACGCACCTCTCACTTCTCCGACACCCCCTCAGTACAACACCACGCTGAGGCATGAACAGGTTCCCAACAGAGACACTGAATAACAGCAAACGAGACCAACCGTGTGGCAAGGTCTGACGCAGCCTCCCCGTGACAGTCGCTGACAACGATCGGCGATGAGTGTCCCAACCAGCCCCCGGCCCAGCTTCGCCGCTTCAACCCCGTCCTACCAGGAAATGAACCCGAGTGTCCCTCGGTGCAGGTTTACCTGTATCGTCCTTATCGTAGGCCTTGAATGCGCTGATGAGGGCTGAGGTGTGAGCAAAGAGCTTCTCCCGCAAGGCTCGAAAGGCTGACTCCTCTACTCTGCTGATTCTGGAGGATGCAGAAAAGAGAGAAGCACATTCAAGACCTGCCACGAAGCGCAAGAGAAGCCGTGCCTTCCCAGTCCTCTGGCCTATCCTCGCACAACTGCTCTGCACGGCTACAGCTACGCTGCGATCCTCGTGACAAGGTACTGCGTGCCTGCAGCACATCCCTGCATCAATTCGTGAAGCAACAACGCAGAAGAGAACCTCAGCAAGGGTCAAAAGTTAAAACTCGACGTTGTAAAGAAGCTGTAAAATCAGCTGTCCGTACTAAAGAGTCCCCTTCTGATCTTGCAACGCTCCTTCCTCGACCCTTGAGCCTCCCTCAGTCATTTCTGCACAAAGCTTGAACCCTCCTCAAGCGCTATTATTTAGTAAATCAAGCCGTGAAAGTTCAGCTCCGGAGCCAAACATTCTCCAAGCTCCCAAAGTTTTCCCCTTCGGAATTTCAACTTGGTGAATATAGAGCAGCCGGAAAGCCTTGCCTTTGGGTCATGGTGAGAGTGTGGGCTGTCTTGTTCGCTTGGTACTGAACGATGTGGGGGACGAGGTCCGGCCCCAGCTTCACGTAGGCTCCCCTGTTGCTGCCGATCTCATAGTAGTTGGAGGCTGAAAATATGGTCAGCACCTAATCCCAAAAAAGAGAGGCATTTACAGTCAGTACCTACATCCTCTATTCGGTGAAAACGACGCAACCGATCCCATCTGGAGTCAACAGACTGGAAAAGCAACGTATTTTACACGGAAAAGGAAGAGCCAGGTGGCAGCTGGCCTGGAAGCCTTACGGGTGCGAGTTCCTCGACCGAGGCACTGGTCTGGTGTGCAACTGGCCACACGCTCGGCTTCTGCCATTTCACTTGACTCTCCTGACCAACTTCCACTCTCCACCGCAGTGAGTGGAGTGAAAAGTCCCCTGAACCTTCCGAGAGCAAAACTTTGCTGCAGCAGCTTAGTAACACCCTTTTGTAAGTCATCTTTGGAAACAGCTGTGATAAGTGCAGGGCAACGCCACGAACGGGCTCAGACCTTTTCTCAGCCACCGTGCACGGAGATGTGCTTTGCCTGCACAACACGTGCCCCAGCAGAGTAGGGACTACAGACTGTCCCGACCTCAGACCTCAGCTGGGAACACGCTTCAGTAACTCCCAAGTAGGCTGTTCCATGATTTTGTACGTACTTAACAAAGCTTCACTGGAAGAAATACAGAGCTGAGACAAGCCACCACAGCAACCCCACCGTGGCAGGACAGAAAGTGCTGTCCCCCCCAAGCATCCTTCACGCTGTCCTCCTCACTGACCTTCCGGTTGTGACAGAACTCGTAGCCCTCGTGCTTGCACTCATGGGAGCGGATGAGGAACTGCAAGTTGTACTTCTCCAGGATCTTCCTTGTCACGTCAGGCCCGAAGTAGCAGCCACCACCTCGCACCGTATTTACTCTACAGCCCTCCTGTGGCATGGGGTCACTCCAGAGAATGTCTAAAATCTGAAAGGATTGGCAAAGTCCACTGAATAAAGTGCACCCTGCAGATATCACCTGTCAAAGTTTAATAAGCAAATACAGCCCTGTCTCTGAATCCCTCTCTGGGCTGCTGCTATTGCTATAGTTTATGTTTCCCGCATCCCAGCTGAACCACCGTACTGCTCTGCAGGACTATCACGGACCTGGTCCACCACAGAGGTGACAATGTTATTGGTCTGGAGCTACAGGCACACCCAAAGTGCCTGGAGGAAGAGACGTGTCCATAAATCAAGCCTCATACAAGCTTTCCCTTTACTGCCTCTAAGATTTGAAACAGCCCTGGCTGTTCTCCTCCATCCAAAACACAGGTCCCAGGGCAAGAACACCCAGCAGATCCCGAGGCCTTGAGCAGGCTTAGTATTAAACTCCTTTGCTCTCCAGCCAGGACATTCCGCAGCCTGCAGAGATGTAAATAAGTGCTGACTCAGGAACCACTATTTGGATTAAAGTTTCAATCTCTTTAACCCTGACCTCAATATATAGCTTTATGCTGATCAGGCGTGCAATGCTGGGATGTCAGATGTAACGTGAACTCAGTAACGATGGTTTCAGAGCACAGAGAAGACCGGTCCAACACAAGCAGCAAACCGAGTTCCAGGCTCTGACCTGCCTAGCAATCTACTCGCAGCGCCGCCCAGCTGAACCCACAAATTCAGTCTGCTCTTAGCACCCACGATCACGACTCGCTCATCAGCAAACGACGTGCTCGTTCACGACCTACAGAGCGGACTTCACATGCCCTGCGTGCGCAGTAAGTGACATAACCACCAGGCTTGATCATCAGGCTTGTCTATTCTTTCTCTCCCCTCCAGGGAAGCAAGAAAACCTGTCGCCCCACTCCGCGCCCGAGCAGCAGTTTTATTTATACAGCGACAAGCGAGTGCTGTGCTGGGGACAAACACTGAGACAAAATAGCACAAACCCCATCAGCCTGCCTGCTGGCACTTCACCAAGTTGCTCCTTAACTTCGCAACACCGAGTTGCTCCTTAACTCCATTATACGAAGCAGCAAAAATCTCGGCAGGGAGGTCTGTGCGCTGACTCGCGTATTTTGTAGTGAGCTTCCTCACAGCAGAGAGCAAACCCGCAGCAGGCACCCCCAGCCCACCGGAACCCAGGGCCACACTTAGACTACTCACCTGCTTCCACTCCTCCTGGTGAGCGCGGCACGGCCCATCCAAATCCGTCAAGGAGACCATGCTGGAATAGGTGAGCTCCTCCGACTCCGACTCGCTGATGTCCACCAGCCGGCGGCACCGCTCGATTTGCTCCTGCACTGTCTGCCGGACCCACCTGGAGAACTCCAGCCTGTTGGCCATGCTGGGAGCCTGGGCTGGCTGGGGCTGCGGAGATAAACTGGGGGCTGCCTCGTTGCCTGCTGGGTCAGCCTCTACTTTGCTCTCCCCATTTATTTCCTGTATTTCCACGTTTCTATTCGACTCCTTTATTTTCTTCACTCTTAGTACAGAAATAAACTGAAAGAGGGAAGACAGAAAAGGGAGATGGTCACACCGCTTGGAAACCAACATCTCCATTCTAACATCATCCACTGTCAAGCTGCTCAGACCTCTGAGCCTCAATTCCCTTTGCTGCCATCAAATGCTGATGAATTGTGGGAGCTTACTAGCGCCGTCCTCTTGAGTGTGCCATTCTTGGTTTACACATCCATCCTCACTAGAGATCTCTCTCTTCATTGACTTTATGCTGCTCAGACATTTCACAAAAGGTAGAGTACCTGGATCTAATCCGCAATGGGATCTAGGCAGCAGAATGAGGGAAGGACTAAAATGACTAACGGCAGTGCTTGTCATTACATTTGGAGAAGGGAAGTCGTGTTTCTTAAGTAGAAAATGAGGCAGAGACAAGGTAAAGGATTTATCAAAATCCTTCTGGAAATCTAGGGAGAAAAACAGGCTAAGACACTGTGAAACAAAATCTCCTCATTGTATGTTTTTTACAGTCAGCACAAGCACACCTATTTACCCGTGCCATTACCCACCACTTCCATGGCTACGATCCTTACGGTCTTCCAGAAGCCAAGAATGCTTCTTCCCTTCACACCTCCTGCACGCACACTACTAATCCAAAGCGATCCCCTCCGAACCTCAACCTAAACACCGTTTGTCTAGGAAGAGCACCCTTCAGATTTGTCTGGTCAGCAGCCAAGTTGATGTGTAGAAATAAGCTCCTCACCACAAATCAGCAACATGGTCGTCTCGTGCGATATCTGTGAGATAACACCTACTTTGTTCCTTTGAATTTTCTCAAGCATGTCCAGGTCAGTGGTGTCAGAGATGCCCCCGTGTATAATGAGGACTTTCTGATCAATCAGGGTGGCCAGGGGCAGCCAGCAGAAGACATTCTGGATCATCTTCAAGATTTTCTTTCCATGCGCCTAGGAGGACAGGTCAGAAAGGAAAAGATGAAGCATGAAGCCTTCAAAGTCTCCATCTTACACGGTAAAGATGACACAAACGTATGCCTACCTTGTATTTCTGCATTACTTCCTTGGCGAAACCGTAGCTAAAGGAACAGGAGAAAGGAAGTTCAGTGGGATTTCGCAGCGACACCCTTGACACCGCGATCAGCCCCGCACAGAACCCGTACCGTAAATTGACCATGTGGTCCTCGTGGTTCCCACGGTTGAGATGAACTTCCTTTGGATAGATCAAGAGGAAGGTAAAGAGGACGATGAGGATCTCAAGAGACTGTTTGCCTCTGTCTACAAAGTCCCCGTTGAACACGTAGGACTTGGAAGGGGAAGGAAGGCCATTCTGCAAAAGCAAGGAACAGATGTTACAAGAGAGGCAGATGTTACAAGAGAGGCTCCCCGTGATCTACATATACCTTCCCCCCCACAGCTGCACATTCGCTCACTCCCGTCCCAGGCTGCCTTAAACAATAGATCCTGACTCTTATTTTTATCCTGTAGGCTCCCAGTGCCAAACGCACCGACGAGTGAAAGGTGGCAATCTGGAAGGGTTGCCATTGGTCTCGGCGCTTACAAAAACGTCCACCCGCACTTCCCAAAAGTACGTGTAAGTCAGATCCACCAGGGGAAGCAGCTGGTGCTTTGTGAAGCCATTTAAAAGGGATGGAATTGACCTGGAGAATCGCACGTGAAGGGCCCAATTTTGCAAACACTTCTCAGTGTGACCCGTGCAATACCTCTCGCGATGCCTGGCCGGCCTCCCTCTCCCAATACAGTGCCTACCTTATAAAATATGAGGAACAAGTCATCCAGCTGGCCGTGCAAGTCTCCTAACAGGCACAAAAAGACAAGTCACAGCATGTTTAACTTCAAAGGACATCAATAAATAACTTCCTATGAAGGATCTCCTCCAAAAATTAAAGACTACGGAAATATTTTGGCAAGTTCAAGGTACCAGTTTCCTTACACTGAGACAGTGTGCCCGAGGAAAAAGGGCATGATGTAAAGGCTTGAGAAGGACAGCAAAAAGCCTACGGCAGCTTCTGAAGACTCTGATTCAGAAGCTTTGTTCATTTATCTCTTAGGGTGACACAACATGGCCCAAGGAACTGCTTGCCTTTGATGGTTACATGGGAGAAAACTTTGCGTACAAAACAATAATGAAACTAAATTCTCATTTAACATGTTATCGGGGAGGGAGGTTTGTTTTCAGAAGCTGACTGCAGGCAAAAGTCTGTGTGAAGTACGTATTTGTCAGATATATCTTCAAGTTTAAGCCTTAGTCCTAGAGTAGGAAAATAGTAGTGAAAAGCTTGGTCTCTTTCAAATTTACTTGATAGGACACAAAGTTGTGTTCGTATTCCGGATCTGAATGCGTACGCTGCTGCTAAGGAAGACTCGACCAAAACAGCTCCAGGACTCGGATGTTTAAACAATCCCAGGCCACAGAACAGGACAGAACATGACTGAGCTTTGAGGCCAGTCCTCGACTGGGAGCAGTTTCTGTGTTTTATTAAAAGAACTGCAAGTTTGGGGTGACAGAACAACGACAAATTTGAATCCAGATGAGAAATTCTTTACATCTTTGCTGAAACATATAACAACTTTAAGAGCCACAGGCCACCATTAGACTTCATCTTCCCTTACACAAAAGTGTATCCTTCTCTTTTCCATTCATACCTCCTCCTCTCTTTACCTTGTTGTCCCCGGTGTGACAGCACCCCTGCTACAGCAGGCTGTGCTGAGCGGAACGCTGCCATCTAGGGGCAGGGTTTGTTAGTGGTGTATCCCAAAATCTCTCCTGGAAGCCAAACGCAGCCTACAAATAGATAAACCACCTTTCCTGGACACCTCCCCCCCTCCACCCCGTTCCGGACCAAGCAGCAATAGGGCCATGAGGCAGACTTGCTCCCTCCCAGCCTTCAGGCTAGTCTTTGCAGCAGCTCAAATACAGGGTCTGAGAAGAAAGCTGGATGTTTTAGACAGCCCCAGTTGCCTCACACATTTTGCTTACAGGCTGCATTTGTGTTCCTCACTCACTACAGAGGAGGACATAACGTTCACGCTACTGTTTTATATCTTTCATACCCCCTCCATGCGAGCGTTGTGCCCCGGAGGCTGCG